CGGAAGGTTCCTCAGGGGACTCACCTGCCTCCCACCTGCAGCCCAGGTCAGTAGAAAAGTTAAAAGCTGAAGCTTTTACTGGGTGCCTGGCTGGCTCAGTCGGGGGAGCATGTGACTCTTGATCTCGAGATTATAAATTCGAGCCCAAAGTTGGGTGTAGAGATTACTAAAAGATAAAATCTTTTAAAAAAATGATTAAAAAAAAAAAAGGCTGAAGTTTTTAGAGGAAAGAGTTGGACATGAAGTGAGTCACTGGCATAGCCCCGTGCCTCATGCTGACAAGCATGTTTCCTATTGAAGAGTGAATAGACCAGGGGATGCCTCATTGAGGCTTGGCAGCCAGGTGCTTTGCTGACTGGACCAGCTGTCTCTCAGATGCTTCTTGTGTGTGGGGCCTGGGAGCCAATGGTCCTTATAAAACCAGGTGGCCCAGTGGGGTGAGGTGGGACAAGCTAAGCTCAGCAGCTCTCCAGCCACCCCTGCCTTCAATGATGCATTCCTAGTGGAGAAGGGACCTCAGGCATCAACCTATTGGTTTTTATTTTTATTTTATTTTTTAATTTTTTTTAGAGCATGAGCAGGGGAGGAGCAGAAGGAGAGGGGGAGAGGGAATCCCAAGCAGGCTCCACGCCCAATACGGACTTGACATGGGGCTCGATCTCAGGACCGAGAGATCATGACCTGAGTCGAAATCCAGCTCAGCCACCCAGGTGCCCCTCTACTGGTTTTTAAACTTTGATTTTTAGCCATGTGACCCTCTGTTCTCTTAACCTGACTTGGAGAATAGTTGGGAAACCACAGATTTGCCCATTTCTCTGTTAGCAGAGAAAATCGAGGCCTGGCTTCTCTCCTTCTGGGGCGAATGCCTCTTTCCCTAGACATCCCCTCAGTGTGCGGTTTGTGGAGGTGCAAAGTGTCTTTCTTATCTGGGACGATGGAGAAGGACATGCTCTTCCTCAGAGTTTTGTTCGTTAGCTGCCACTGAGCCCCTTGCCCTGGTATAACTAATGTTTCTCCCTCCTACTCTGCTCCTGACACCATACAGTGCTCTGTTCTGATGGTTCCGGGCTTGGGACAGGAAAGGTCTGGCCCCCTGTCAATCAACCAATCAAACCTTCATTGAATGCCTGTTAGGTGCCAGTGCTTGAGGGGACCCAGAACAGTACAAACCAGGGTCCTGGCTTTCAGGGGACTTGCTATCTAGTTGGACATGTGAACACACTGAGCCAAGAGGCATCACTGGGGATGATCACAGAGCCAGTGAAACAGACAAAGAAGAGGGTGGGGCTTAAACTGGATCTTGAAAGATGAAATGCTTTCTTGGGTTCCCCCGTTTTAGACCAAGGAAGATAATGGACCCATGGGAACATTTGAGGCATGCTAATTTCAGGAATTTCCAGGTTGCATTTTTAAAGTCTAGGGATGGGAAATAATCGTGATAACAGTAGAAGACACTTCTTACAAAGCACTTCTGTCAGCTATATAACGTTCACTTAAATCGTTATTACAAACTTATGAGCTAGGTACTATTGTCATCCCCACTTTACAGATGAGGAAATGGAGGTAGACAGACTAGTTGACTTTCTGGAGGTTACTTGGCTAATAAATGGCAGAGCAGGAGTCAAACCCAGGCAGTCTAGTGGGAGTCTGTGCTCGTGACCACCAAGCTCCACAGATAAGGATTTGGTTTTCCCTGCAACCGGGAAATGAAGGCACAGGGCAGGGGTGGGTCTGGTTCCCCACGCTTCTGCCTCTCTCTCCTATCCCTCACCAAGGTATGAGCCATCTGCCATGTGCAGGAAGAGAGACCCCAGGACACCTTGTACACTCTAACCAGAATCACACCGGCTGAGTGCTGGTCATGGCAGGAGAGGTGTGTGGCGGCTAATCTTGCCCCATTTCCTTGTGCTCCCTTAGGTTAGTGTCTGGGGTGATCATTTCAGGTGGGGGAGAGGGCCAGATGGCCAAGAAGGTAATGAGCTACACTGGACCCACAGGCCAGCCCCAGGCTGGATGCAGTGTGTCTCTCCTCTCCTCTGATCCCCAGATAGGTCACAAGCTTGGCATAGTTGTTTCTATAAAAAATTCAGAGCCTACAAAGCATAACATTTCTGTCTTCCTCCCTTCCCCCATCCCAGATGATTTCATATTCTCCCATTCTTTTTTTCTTTTTTTAATTTAATTATTTTGAGAGAGAGAGAGAGAGCACAAGCCGGGGAGGAGCAGAGAGAAAGGGAGAGAGAGAATCCCAAACAGACTCTGTGCCATCAGCACAGAGCCCGATGTGGGGCTTAAACTCACGAACTGTGAGATCATGACCTGAGCTGAAGTTAGCCACTTAACCCACTGAGCCACCC